CGTCCTCTTGATGGAGACAGTAGATCCTTAGAGGACTGACTTACTGAGTTCCCATCTGATATAAACGCAAAACAACAAAAAAGCCGAAGCAACCGGAAGGCCTGCTGGACTGCAACACAAATTCCAAGGCACCTTAACCAACAAAAAGATGATCAGGTTTTAAATTGAGAAACAGCTTAAAGAAATGTAATGTCAGATGTTAAGGTCTGTGTGCTGTGGCTGGGGACTGAAACCAATTGTGTTTATTTTTCCAACAGCCTGGGCAGGCAGAAGGTACAACAGTCTCCCCTCCACCCACTCAGTCATCAAGGGAACGTGGAAACAAACAAACAAACAAAACAAACAAACAAACACCATCACCTCAGCAATTTTCATGAAAGGCCTAAACGGACTCCATAAGCCACTCTGCAGTGGTGATAAGTATCCAGTAAAATTAATATACCAGAGAGGGTGAAAGCCACAAGGTCACACAGCAAAGAACAAGAGGCCTAGGTTACAGCTACCCCTGGATGGTAAAGCCTGATGTTGGCTTCATCAGAAAGTTCACCCTTCCAGAACTCCAGAGGAGCCAGGACGCAGGCAGAAATATTCGAGTTCATTCCCAAGGGGCCATGCACACACCATTTCCATTGTTAATGGCACTTAGGAAGTGGAACCAGTGTGGAGGGGAGCAGCTGGCTTGAGGAAGGGGGGGCGTGATGGAAGGCCAGCTTCAGAAAAGAAGGTCTTCTAAAATCCTCCTCCACATACAGTATGCACCCCTGTGCAACTCCAGGGCCCCAGCATGTGTCCCCTCTGTTTCCCGGAGGGCGACCCTACTATAAGAGGGAAGCAGACATGGGCAAAACTCTTTCACGGGTCTCGGGCTCCAGCGAAGTCGTCCCACCTGAAGGCAGACCCCTGGACCCCGAGAATTCACGCCCTCACTGCAGCTCTGTGACAAGGCCACCCTGCCTCTCCTTCCTGGTCCCCCAGGGAGGGGTACCAATTTATTTGCCTCAAACTCCCCAGGGTCTGCGCCCTCCCCCTGCTAGCCTGTTTCCACCTGGCGTTCAGCTGCAGCCGGGCACCCAGTCTCATGCCCCAGCTGCCTCGCGCCTCCGATTTCCCGACGCGCGTCTGTCCTCCCTAATCCCCCAGGACCACCCCTGGCTTTCCCCTCGGCCCGGCCTCCCCTCCCTCACTGCACGCCCGTCCCCTCTTCCGGTCCCAGCACTCGGCGACCCCGTCCTTCCCCCCCCTCTGCCCCGCGTCCCCGGGGACCTCTGGCAGCCCTGACGACAGCAGGTTTTTTTTTTTTTTTTTTAGTTTAATATGTCTGAACCCAGACTCATCTTCCTTCCTGATTGTCCTTTCCCCCTGGATTCCCTGGCCCCAGGCAGTTACGAGAAAAAGCTGGGTTTCTAGATCCTCACAACCTTTCCCCTCCAGCCCCGCAGCTGCCACGGCTTCCTTTTTCTCCTCCCTCCTCAGGCCCTGTTGCTTGGGACTTATATGCCTCTCACCCTGATAAGTATTCTCTCTGAAGTGGCTTCCCCAAATCTGTCTCTCCTTCTGGTCCACCTGAGAGCCAAGTGCAAGATTGAGCCTCCTGAAGTACACTTCCGGAATAAAGTTCAAGTTCCTTAGGTTGACACTGAAAGCCCATCACAGTCTGGTCCCTTCCTATCAACTGTATTTGCCAGGGAGCTTCCCTTCAATACCTTACTTTTGTCTGTGCCTCCCCTTCCCCCAATCCATACCTGCTACCCCCATATACATCCAGTTTTCCCACCTCCATACCTTGGCTCTGTGCAGAATCCCACCCACGTAGCTACACATCCTCACCTTACCCATACTTTCAAGACCCAATTTATTTATTTTTTATTTTTTTAATATTTATTTTTGAGAGAGAGAGGGGCAGAGAGAAAGCACCACTGGGGGAGGGGCAAAAAGAGTGGGAGACAGAAGATCTGAGAGGTGAGCATCACTCTGACAGCAGAGAGCCCAACGTAATTGAATCAACAACTGCGGAGATCATGACCAGAGCTGAAATCGGACGCTTAACAGACTGAGCCACCCAGGCTTCCAGGACCCACACTTCTAAAACGGGCACCTGCCTCGACAGTCTACCTGAAAGAAATCTTCGCCATTTCAACTTCCACAGCACCTGTCTGCCCTCCACAGTTCTCTACGTCCATTCTATCTCTCCAAGGAGACTATGAGCAAACTGGGGGCCACATCTCATGGCATAAGGAAATAGTCACAAAGAGAATAACCCAGTCGAATCCATCCCATACTTTCCAGCCAGTGTGCTCATTCAAATATGTCTCTCTCACTGGATGCAGGCCCAGGGACAGCTGTTCCCCTGATTTCCCCCAGCTACCACCATCCAAGGGTTCTGAGTTCGAGTCTCGGCCAGGCTCTGGGCTGCATGGCTCAGAGCCTCAGAGCCTGTTTCCATTCTGTGCTTCCCTCTCTCTCTGCCCCTCCCCCTGCTCATGCTCTGTCTCTCTCTGTCCCAAAAATAAATAAAAACGCTGAAAAAAATTTTAAATAAATAAATAAATAAATAAATAAATAAATGCTCTCTTCTATAGCAGGAGTTGTTTCCACTGTTAAGCTGTCGATTCTTCAGGTCACGATCTCTCTCATAACTGGCGGAGTTCGCCGAGCCCCTGCCGGGCTCCCAGGTTGACAGCTCAGATGGTGCCTGGAGCCTGTTTCGGATTCTGTGTCTCCCTCTCTCTGACCCTCCCCCGTTCATGCTCTGTCTCTCTCTGTCTCAAAAATAAATAAACGTTAAAAAAAAAAAAAATGCCTCTTCTGCTAAAATCCTGCTCCCCGGAGCCTTGGCAGGGCCCCCAAAACCCTCCGCGCTCAGCCCTCTCCCTACTTCACCAGCCTCCTCTACCCCACACCCATCCCTTGTTGCTTCTGCCACACGGAGCTCCTTACAGGGGCCCAGGCACACCAGGCAACTTCTGGACTCTGCAGACGTCAACTCCTCTGTGGGGCTTCTTCCCTCCTTTCCAAGTCCTACTCCTCCTCCATGACTCACCTTAGTTTTCCTCTTCCCTCCTACCCCTTCCTGGACAAACGGGGTCGGGGGGTTGGGGTCCTGCCCTGCGACTCCCCCCTCTCCCCCTCCGCCTCAACACATATCGCACCAACAACACCTTGCCACTGCCTGTGGTTCGTCTGTCTCTTCCACCAAACCGTGCATTCCCGGGTGACAGAAAGAACCGTTGCCCACCAGTGGACCCCAGCACTGGGCATGGGCCTTGACACAAAGGAGGTACCCAGTTTTGTTTGTGCAGGAAAAAAAAAAAAAGAGACATAAACATTTCCAGGTCAGATGCAGAAAACATGACTTGTGTCCTTCATCCCATAAAGCATGCCCTAATGGAAACCACGTGGAAAGTATACTCTAAGACTGGTTAAACAGGAGAAGCCCTTGGCAAGAAAGCACTTGAATTTATTTGAAGACAGTTGGCAATCAACTATCAACTCCCAAGGCTGACTTTTCATCCCGGAGACCTCAAAGTCCAGCCTCCCCTACCGAAAACCAGATTGAGAAGGGAGCAATGTAACGTCCCCGGGGCTCTTACCTTTTCTCTCTGGAGAGCTGGCACAAACTGTCCCTTCTTGATGGAGACAGTAGATCCTTAGGAGGACTGACTTGTTTGAGTTCCCATCTTGATATAAACGCAAACAACAAAAGCCGAGCAAATCCGAAAGGCCTGCTGACTCGGCAACACAAATTCCAAGGCACCTTTGCCAACAAGGAAAAAGATGATCAGGTTTTAAATTGAGAAACAGCAGTCAGTGAAAGCGAATGCACAGATGTTGGGTCTGTGTGCTGCGGCTGGGGACTGAAAACCACCAGGTTTATTTTCCAACAGCCTGGGCAGGGCAGAAGGTACAACAGTCTCCCTCCACCCACTCAGTCATCAAGGGAACGGTGGAAACAAACAAACAAACAAACAAACAAACAAACACCTCAGCAATTTCATGAAAAGGCCTAAACGGACTCCATAAGCCACTCTGCAGTGATAAGTATCCAGAAAATTAACACACCAGAGAGGGTGAAAGTTTGGCCAAGGTCACACAGCAAAAGAACAAGAGGCCTAGTTACAGCTACCCTGATGGTAAAGCCTGATGTTGGCTTCATCAGAAAGTTCACCTTCCAGAACTCCAGAGGAGCTAGGACGGCAGGCAGAAATATTCGGAGTTCATTCTTAAGGGGCCAAGCGCCCGTGCACACACCATTTCCATTGTTACTGGCACTTAGGGAAGTGGAACCAGTGTGGAGGGGAGCAGCTGGCTTGAGGGAAGGGGGGCGGACGGAAGGCCAGCTTCAGAAAAGAAGGTCTTCTAAATCCTCCTCCACATACAGTATGCACCCCTCAAAAGTAACCCAGGGCCCCAGCAAACTCCTGTTTCCTGGAGGGCGACCCCTACTTGAGGCGAGGGAAGCAGAGTTACGGGGCAAAAACTCTTTCAAAGTACGGCCCCGGGCTCCAGCGAAGTCGTCCACCTGAAGGCAGACCCCGGACCCCGGGAGAATCCACGCCCTCACCGCGTAGCCCGGTGACAAGGCCACCCCCGCCTCCTCCCGGTCCTGTGGGGAGGGGTACCCACCTCGCGACGGCCCCAAACTCCCAGGGTCTGCGCCCCTCCCCCTGCTAGCCCTTCGGCTTCCACCCGGCGTTCACCCTCGCAGCCGGCACCCAGTCCCGTCCTAAGCTGCCCGCGCCTCCGATTTCCCCGACGCGGCGGCCCGTCCTCCCAATCCCCCCAGGACCTCACCCCGGGGCTCTTCCCCGGCCCGGCCCTCCCTCACTCGCACGCCCGCCCCCTTCCGGTCCCAGCTCGGCTCGACCCCCGTCCTCCCCCCTCCCCCCCCCGCCCCGCGTCCCCGGGACCCCAGCCCTGACGACAAGCAGGTGGCCTGCCCGCCCCTCTCACCGAGGCTGAGGAAGGCGAGGGGGCAGGCTGAGGGCACCGCCGCTCTCGGGCTACAGCTGGGGTTCGGCCTGGGCACCGCTCCCGCTGAAGCTCCGACTCTGAGGAGGCAGCCAGAGTGAAACTCGGCGTCGCAGCTTCCTAGCGCCCCGGTGCGCATGCCCAGGACGCGGGGCCTTCTGGGAAATGTAGTTCCGTGGGTTGGGGGGCGGGGCGGGGCCCAACCCGTCGCGCACCTGTTCAGGTATATCTATTCCTCTTCACTCTGTTCACTCACTGACTTCGTTAACTTACTGACTCGTTTTAGGTACTTTTTAACCGATACGTAGGTGATGTCAGGCCCTGTGCTGGGTACTGGGGATTAAAACGTGAGTTATGAACTTGGTTTTTCTCCTGGGAGAGCTTCGTATCTATTTGGGGAGACAGATACTCAAACATAGAATTACGGTACAGTGGGATAAATGGGAGTTTGAACACAGGAGTTGGAGCGCAGAAGGGTGTGCTTAATTTGAGAGGGGGTGTCAGGAAGACATCACAAAGCGGTGTTGCATGAATTGGATTTTGAAGCATATATAGGGGTTTGCCAGATGGAGTACAGAGAAGTTCTTGCAAAGGAGGAGACGTGTGAAAGTGCCTGACACAATCGGGAAGCAGTGAAATGTTCTCTGTGGTCAGGGCAAAGGGTTTATGGAGGGGCTGAGGACAGAGAAAATAGATTAGGGTGTGTCAGGACAGGAGTGTGGGGAGCAGGCTGGGTAAGATTATGATCGTCTTTAAATGCCATGCAAGGAATTTAGGCAGCTGGAACCAATAGAAAGATTCAAAGCAAGGGGATGACAGTCAGCATTGCACTTTAGAAGGATACCGTGTGCGGTAGGTAGAGGATAGGTTAAAGGGACAGAGAAAAGAGCTAGGAGACCAGTTTGGTGGACATTGCTGTCCAGACAGAAGGTGATGAGGCCTGAACCAGGTTGGAGACTGCCCTTCTGGGATCACAGACTTCCCTTTCAAAGCTAAAGAAAGCTATTCCCAAAATATGCTCAGATGTACATGCTCACACACACGTACACACGTTACATGTACAATCTTGCACACAGGTTCAGGGGGTTCAGAGTTCTCTGAATCTTGGACTCTAGTTGAGTAGAGTCCCTCGCACTAATACCCCTCACACTTCATCAGGGATTTCAGAAAGAGACGCTCCCCTAACTCCCCCATCATTCAGTTCAAAACTTCATTTTTTTTTTATTTTTTTAATGTTTATTTATTTTTGAAGGAGAGAGAGACAGTGTGAGTGGGGGAGGCGCAGAGAGAGAGAGAGAGAGAGAGAGAGAGAGAGAGGCACAGAATCCGAAGCAGGCTCCAGGCTCCGAGCTGTCAGCACAGAGCCCAATGCGGGGCTAGAACTCACAAACCGTGAGATCATGACCTGAACCGAAGTCGGACGCTCAACCGACTGAGCCACCCAGGTGCCCCTCAAAACTTCATTTTATAGAAGAGGAAGCTGAGGCCCAGAGAGGAGGGGAAGGAGTGCCTGTGGCCCCACTTCTGGTACCCTAGGCCAGGACTCTTTATGACCCAGGACCTGACTTACAGGACACAGGCCTTGAGTTTGGGGACACACCAAAGTCAGGTTCTCCCAATTACACCCAGAGCTAGCTCTCTTTCTAGAACTGAAGGGTAACTTTCTAGTTGTGATTTATACTATGTGACTGCAGTGGCTACAGATTAGGATGCGAACATTTCCCCATCTTCTTTCAGAATCAGTTTTCTCAGCCATAACCATCTACACCAAACATTTCTTTTTAAAAAAAATTTTTACTGTTTATTTATTTTTGAAAGCGAGAGAGACACAATGCAAGCAAGCAAGGGAAGGGGCAGAGAGAAAAGGAGACACAGAATCCAAAGCAGGGTCCAGGCTCTCAGCTGTCAGCACAGAGCCCAATGTGAGGCTTGAACCCATGAATGGTGAGATCATGACCTGAGCTGAAGTCAGACGCTCAACTGGCTGAGCCACCCAGACACCCCTACACCAAACATTTCTAAAGCACTTAGTGTGTGCCAAACACTTGGCATGCATCACTTCATTAAAGCCCCTCAGTGAGGTAGGTATTATCATTTTCCCCATGTTATTTATTTTTTAAGTGGGCTCCATGCCATGGAAGGGGTGGGGCTTGAACTCACAACCCTGAGATCAAGAGTCGCATGCTCTACCAAGTGAGCCAGCCAGATGCCCCCTCGTTATCCCCATTTTAAAGATGGGGTCACCGAGACACAGTTTAAGCGATGTGTCTAAGGTCACACAGCCAGCAACTGGCAGAGCTGGTCTTAAAATCAAGGTGGCATCTAACTCCAGATTGAGCACCCCTATATGAGTGGCCTCGCTGGTGGGAGGGTGGTACAAGCTGAAACGGTCTGAAGCGTTAGAAAAGCCTTTCAACACTCAAAAGATATTTTCTTTTTTTTTTTTTTTAAATTTTTTTTTTTTCAACATTTATTTATTTTTGGGACAGAGAGAGACAGAGCATGAATAAATGGGGGAGGGAGAGAGAGGGAGAGACAGAATCGAAACAGGCTCCGCTCTGAGCCATCAGCTCAGAGCTCGATCGTCAGCGCGCGGGCCTTCCGGAATCAATGGACCGAGATCGCGTGACCTGCTATTGGTCGGGCCGCGAATCGACTGCGCCACCCAGGCGCCCCTCAAAAGATATTTGCGCTTCCTTTTTTCCTCACAGTGAATGCTTTTTCGTTCGATATTGTCCAAAAGTCCCACTGCACACACACCTACAGGCTCAAACAGAACTGTGGTGGCAGGCCAGGCTGGAAAGGTTCTGGAACCTAGGCTCTGGAGAGGGAAAGACATCTCAACTCAGAGAGAGCAGGAGAGCCAGAGCTGAGGAAAAGGTTGATGGGGCTGCCCAGGTTGGGGAATCAGTGTGGGAACCAGAGGGAAAGCCAGGTAGAGTCAGAGAGGACATCACAGCCTGGAAGGCATGGGGTGAGCTCATGAGGTAGAGGACACCAGAAATGTGGCTTGGGGTGTCCGTCAACAAGGTGAGGGGAGGTAGGGAGATGGCAAGAACAGCCAGGTGGGAGGTTCTGAGCCCAGCCTCAGAGGCAAGGGGCCGGGGGGGGGGAGTCACCGGCAATGAGACTGAGATCAAGTGGAAAGACCTCAGAAGATAAGCAAGTGCTGTTGGGTCCGAGGCTATGAACACCGATCTTGAAGGACAAATGAAACATAGAAGTGTCTGAAGGGAGGCTGGACTGGGGCGAGGCTGGTGAATCAGAGAATCAAGGGGAGTGTCCCATGGAGGTGGTACTCAGTGGTGACAGATGCTTCTGAGAGGCCCAACAAGGTGGTCGGGAGGCAAGACTAACAGAACCGGAAGGGCTCCTGTCTCCCCAGCTCTGCCTTCACCTTATGGCGTTCTCCAGGAACGCCCCTGGGCCTCCAATCATCCGCCACTGAGGCCACAAACCCCGTGGGATTGCTGAGAAGCAGAGGCCTGAGCACAGAGATGCACACAGGTGTGTGTGCTTGGGAAGGTTGGGAAGGTTCCAAAAACAGTCTTTGTGTTCCACGATGGGGCGGGGCAGAGGAGGATAAACCCACACATGTGGAATGAGGCTACTTACATAAGGTTGCCCATGGCTGTGTGTGCCTGGAAAGACGCTAGACAACACGGTCAAGTCTGAGAGGCAGGATAGCAGGTGATTTTCACTTTCTTTGTACTTTTCTTGCCCCATTTGAGTGTGTCCCAATGAATGGTTTCCTTTTTTGTAACCTGAAAAGAAAGACTATTTTTATTTGGGGAAAATAGAGAGTTCTGGTAGCGAAAAAGCAGCAAAATAGGGCAGCAGCAAGAGGGAGCATGTGCGGGGGCACGGACTTTTAATTTTTAGGCAGGACAGAGCAAGTGTGCTGTGTTCTGAGACTGCAGCAGGATGGCCCTCAGGAAGCTGGAAATGAGGGGCCTGGGATCGGCCACTTGCAAACTGAACTTGAAACCAATATAGTAGCAAAGGATCCGCAGCAACTAGAAGAGGGCGGGTTAAATGACCTTGGAACACTAGTTAAGAAGAATGAGGAAGATGCACAGGTACTAAGGGAACAATGGCCAAGGTCTAGGGTTAAGCAAAAAAGAAACTTTCACAGCATACGGAACATGCACCTATTTGTGGTTTTGGTTTGGAAAATGTGAACACGCCTCCCTCCCCCTCCACACACACAGTAGGGCAGGTTAGGTATGCCTGGCACAAAGGGCACATGGGGGTGAAAGGGGACGGAAACATTCCTGGCATGGGCTCTTTGTCCTCACAAAAATCATCTGCCCCGAAGGGGAGCTTTGTGTGTGTGTTTTAACATCTCAAATGGAGCTTGCTCACCGGCTTCCGAAGGCTCCCTAGCAACTAAGAATGAATGGCGTGGCCCAAGAAAGAATGTGGCTGTTGGCCACGGAATGGGGAGTGATGGTGGCCAAAGAAACTCTTTTTTTTTTTTCCCCCCAAAAGTTCTTAGACTCCATTCCAGGTGCCAGGATTTACTGCTTCCGAAGGTTCCGATCCTGGAACAGCCCCAGCTCACTCAGGGAGCAAGAAAAGATCCATGACATAGGGGCCCAGCATCACTGCTCAGGGACTCAAGCACTTTCTGAGGTTTTGCTTGGAAAGGCAGAATTTTGTTGCTTGGTGCCACTCGGCTAATTGGCCTCCATCTGACGCTCTGGAGGGACCGTCTGATTAGAAGCCACAGCTGCCTGGCTCATTATTTCTGATTAATAGACAGCACCTGGCATCTCTGGGCGACAGTGCCCACTCAGGACCCAGGTGTGACCTACACGGCCAACAAAAGCGTGATGGCTCTGCAGCCCCAGGACGAAGCCCCTAAAAGTGTTCGTCATCTTATGTAAGTCCCAGCCCCTTGGAACACGTTTTGAACTGGCTTGTCCTTTTTGCTGGTTCCTTTGCTGCGAGTCTGAAATAATTGATGTGTACTCACAGTTAACTCATCCGAGAAGTTTGCTTTCACACCAGGCAATCTCACTGGATCTATGCCCTCCACCCCATTGTAAGTTACTTACTCATTTTAAGTTAGTACTCTGGCATCCTGGTTTGAGATCCATAGAAGAGAGGTGTCAGTTGTGCGTGGACAAGGCAGGCCTTTTAGCCTAAAGGCTGAGGGCAAGAGGCGCCCCCGAGAGACAAAGTTGTCTTTCTGGTGGTAGCCAACCTCCCCCGGAAAACTTCCAATAGTCCCTGGCTGCTGCTTAGAATTGATTGCTAAAAATACGTGATAAATCTAACATCCATCAGGAAAAAGCGTGAGTCTCAGATACAGACATGAACAAAGAGATTACGAAATGTCCTCTCGCACCCTTCCAGATACCCTGACTCTGTAAAAGTCTGCCTTTCCTGGTCTTTGACGGAAGATATTTTGCAATTCTGTATATTGTGGAAAATCAGTAGTGCAAATTATTGCAAATAAGTCTTGTCTGGGGAGATGCAATTGATTTCTGCCCTTTGTAGGAAGCCAAACTTGCGTCTATCAACAAATTCATTTCTGCATTCCTGTTACTTTATGCAAATCTTCGGATTCTCCTTTGAACCCATTTCGCCTCTGGCAGTTCCCCTCAAGGAAGGAGTTAAAACAAGACCTTTGGGGCGCCCGGGGTGGGGGGGGGGCGATCTCTTAGTTTGTGTGTTCCAGCCCGCATTGGGCTCTGCGCTGACCATGTGGAGGGAGCCTGCTTGGGATTTTCTCGCTCTCCCTCTCTCTCTCTCTTTGTGCCCCTCCCCCGCTTGCACACACGAGAGTTCGCTCTCAAAATAATCTTAAAAAAAGACCTTGGACATATTTTCATTTTGTATTTGTACAAACATGATTTTACTCCCCGGCTCCCCCCTTTCTCCGCATTGTCCTTTCTTCCCCTGGCCACCAGGAAGCACAAAGGCAAAGTTTTAAACCCACGGAGTGTCGGTCCACTGAGAGTTTCACGGGATGTGATAGGCAGCTGCCCCAAACACCAGGGAAACAGGTGGCCGTAGGCAATGGAAATCCAGACCCTCAGCTGCCGGCCACCTCCCTCCCTTTCCCCGCTCTAGCCTCCAGTGGAGACTGGAGGCAGGGCCCTCGGATCTCAGGGCTGGAGGCCGCCTCTCGGTGGCACCCGGAGAGATGAGGCCCATCTGGAACTGGCTGGAGCTGACCTGCTCCCCACACTTCCTCCTCACACCAGCTACAACCACTTCCTGTTCCCAAGGACAGCGGAAGTTGGAGAGGACTTCCCAGGATGTTGCAAGCCCCAGAAACAGGAGGGCAAGTAGCGGATGGACAGTCCCCCCGGGGGTTGTGGAAGCAGCTGGAGCTCAGAGTGTGGTTCTGTCTGAACACCTGCTGGTGTTGGGGAGGGAAAAGCCTCGTCTTCCACAGGTTTTTCTGGCCGGTCTAAGAATTAAGTTGGTCACCAGCTAGACCTCAAGACTCGACAGTTGCTGCCTACATTGTACCCATTAACCTTTGTCTTACATCTTCCCCTAAACTCTTCTTTCCAGCTTATTTCTAAACTCAGGCAAATGAAATCCGAAACCACCCCTCAGGGGATGGCGAAGGCCCTGACAAGGCCTCCCAGACCACCCAGACCTTTTGAGCTAAACTTGACTTGCACTGGGGCAGATGCACCAGAGTGGCCTCTGGAATGACCCACCTTTAAGTTTACCTCATTAGAATACTAAAACCCTCCCCCAGGGAGGAGCCTCAGCCCTCATTTATGTAACATACAAGGTCTCTACAGGCGGGTTTCCTTAAGGCACATGCATCACGCCCACCTCTACCTAGGCCTCCCTGTCTAAATAGCCATCCTAACCCTAAACAGAAGGGACCCATTCGCCGTCTCTCTCGGGGAGTCACTGCTTTGGAAGCCATTCCCTATGATCTCCTTGGCTCTCCGAGGAGCGAACTCACGTTTGTTAGGCTAAAAGTTGACAGGAAACAGATTAACAGAACAGCAGGTTTAATTTTGCTTGTGCGAATCTCTCACAAATATGGGGTTCCCAAAGTTAAAAGGAAGTACATATGCCCTCCTGAACCAAAAGGGATGAGAGCCTGGGGCTTCAAAGGCACAGAAGGCAATTCACAGACCAGGAAGAGTGAATGTGTGTGCCTCCCCACGCCCACCCCCTCACCCCCCCCC